TTGAAGATCTAGGAAAATAATGTCTGTTCCTCTCCAAAATCAACCTTATTTTAAATGTGAGACTTTGGATGAAAAGAAGTCATTGTTCTCGCCATGCGAGTAGCAATCTGGGGCGGTAGCAAACCTCCTATATGTTTTCGCGTCAGATCCGGCTACCACCATCCCATATCTCTCAACACGCGAGCTGTGGCTGAATCGGTATAACTCCTTCATGTTATTTTTCGTTTGTTGTTTTTGTTTGTTTCTATCATGAATTTTAATGATGCGCTTAATCTGTCTATAAGTATGTGTTTGCGCGTGTTGCCTGTGTGTTGCGGAAATAGTGTTGCATGAATTATATGAAATATCGAGTATATTTATTTATTTATTTAATTGAGAGAAAGCAACATGAAAGATCAAGCGGCTCGTGACTCAAGACCACATGAATCAGCTATACCATACATAGCTGTTCCTACACCTTCCCCTCCTTTTTTTCTTTTGTTGTTTGCGTACTATTTCTTTCCATTTCTGTTACTCATTTGATTGTTCTTCATATTCGTAATCTGATGTAAGGTTGGGCAAGAGCCTTCTGCTCCTGCTCGGCTAGTCCTCTTAGTAAACTTTATTTCCTTCCCCCTGATCTTTTATTATTCACCATGTACTACCTTATTTATCCCACATCTTCTAGTTATAGTTGAATTCGAATTTCGTGCTTCCTCTTCATGTCATCGCTTCAGTATAATAAGCTTTCTATAGGGAATCGTGTTTTACCTTAGAGAATGATTTCGGAAGTAAGGTTTGGTTAGAGTAGCCGCTTTTATGAGGAGCGTTACTGGATTCTACAGTGATAACAATGCCAAGTCCCCACTTTATCATACTATCAGGGACAAAGTTATTTTATTACAATAGTACGAAGGTGATATATGGTTATATGGGATGAAAACGATGATGAATATCCACGGATATGATTTCAGTTTCGCATCCACTATGAAGCTAATCAAACTTGAGCACTTATGTGCTATTATTGTAATAAGAATATTGAGTGCAGGATAGAATTCTAACTTATTTCTTCAGATCTGCAATCCAGAAAGGGCACTTTGATATATCTTCAGACTTATAGAGTTAGTTGACATTATAGAAAGACTACTATTGCTAACACAAAGTCTGCAATGTTACCGATTTAGCTTAGAACTGTTTCAAACCCGCCACCACCCAATGAAAGAAGCATGACTTTTGTGTTTATACCCATTCACCAGGCTCACGTTTGGACCGTCGACGAGGAGCACTTTCTGAAAAAATACATATTCAGTCCGGGTACACAGATGCAGTTAAGATTGATATTCGTTTGGAGTTGTGCAGTTTTAGTGTTAACGCTATACGTTTTGCCTTTTATAAGGTGCTATAAAATCCTAGACCTCAATTTACAGTCGTCATTTTCTGTGAACGAAGGTAGCACCCGCTTTAGGATTAGTCTCATCTGGAAATGTTATATTAATTGTAATTTGTGCGTGGATTACCTTAGTATTTTCCAACGATGATTTTAGGACACATGATACTCTTTAGAAATTATCAGCGCTGATTACAGAGATACATAAAATATGAAAAAATTCGAAAAATTCCACGCAAAGCAATCGATACCTTTATTTGAAACTAATTATAATTCACACTAGATCACACACACGACCTTACATTACGACCTGTACTGCATCGGATACTTGATCATAACAAGAGCGAGACAGAATAATCTCAAATGATGCGGCACGAAAGATTTCTTAACTGCACACTAGGAAAATCTACCGCTATGCAGATTCAACTTGTAAATAATCGATATAATCGATGAATATCAACATTAGAAGAGAAGTAATGCGAAATGACAGGAAATCAAAAGTACGTAAAACACGATCGAACGATGTTGTAACGCCGTGAAGTATAAATTGGGATTTTGGGCGCGAAATGGAGCG